GTATGGTCATCTCTGCATGGGTCTTTTTATATTTTGATTGTTCAGTGGTTATAAATATCCCTTTTATTGCAGATTATATTGAAATGCAATCCTATAAAAGTGAAACGATTCTTCTGTCTGTTGTTTGGCTTTGTCACAAAAATATATGTATCAATATTGTCTCTTGCTTAAGTGTGATTTTCAATATGCTTCACAAGTCAAACAATCGGGCGCTCAGGGACAGATGACATGCACCGAAGATGTCACTTTTTCATAAAAAAAAAAAACAAAAACGCATCAACACTCTTCTGACAAATGCCAAGAATAATTCCCTTGACATGTACTATAAATTTTTTATAATTTTTCTTTGACGAGTTAAAACTCATTCGATTTTTTTAGCTGTTGAGTAGGTGTTACACAGTGGTCCATACCGCAAGAACCGTGGCTTCCTTTAGCTTCCGTAAAATAAAGTTCCTCACAGTTTTGGTACACCTTCCGTCAGGTTTCAATTAAGTCCACTGGAAGAAACCCTTCAATATTTAATTATATTTCCCCGATAATTCGAGAGTAAAATCTATAGTCCAATAACTCACACGAGTAGCCACAGCTAGTGGTGAAAAAACCCGCACCTTTAATGTTAAGGAGCAGTCCCACCTAGGCACTTGCTACATAGCCCACCTTGTCTCCCCTTTCCCCCTCCCTGCCAGGGATAGTCGGGGAAAAACATAAACCCAAGTTTTTCAAATTAAAATTCCCGGCCTTGTATGAGAATGATCACTAGGGCGTTGAAACGTAACCTTCTCTGGGCTCTCACGAAGTCGAGACAAGCGAAAAAGCGGGCGCGCGAAATATGGTGTTGGCTCTGTGAGCAGAAACACGAAGAAAAGGCAGAACGAGAGATGTTTCCATGACAACTGCAACCTCCACGTCTGCCCTCAGCCCTTTATTACGCGCCTGCTTCTTCGCTTGTCTATATTAACTGAGAGTCTGGTACAAGCCAGTTGAAATGACGAAGACAAAAGTTCCCTGGTGCTTAGTGATGCATTTAATAAAACAATTCGTTGTTCTTTGATGCATGAGCCTGCGCTATTGTGTAGGGAGCCCTTAATCGCCCTCGGAAATTTAGCCCAAATTAATGATAAAAGCAAAAAGAACAAGGGAAAAGAAAGTATTTCCTGTTTATTCTTATGGCCATCTTGCCCGACTTCATTTGCATGCGTAGAATAAAAATTGGTCCATGGTCAGTAATCCGTGTGATCTTTTTTCGCACACATTTCTTAACAAAATCATGCCAAAGTTCCATATTTTCCAACGTCATTGTCTTGCGAGGAAAACTGTTTTTCATCTGTGTGTGTGCATGTCTTTACGTGTTTGACTCCTATACTTCCTGTTTTCGTTTCAATCCTTCGGCTGAGGTTTTTTTTGTTTTTGTTTTTTTTTGGTCTTTTTTTCAAGTAACAAGAGCAATTTGATTGCATTGCAGTGGTGTACCTATTGAGCAGTATTACGATCTTACCCCATTGAAGAAAAGCAACCTCAGAAGAAATGATGAATTGTGAGTATTGAGTCAATTGCATTTATCGCATTAGTAGCTATTGTGTTAAAAACCACAACTTGTCGAATCATTTATATTCTTTTCTCGAATTTTCTTCATGAATAAATTATCAAAAAATTAATTTGTTTCGCGTCCCACAATCATTTGAATGGACGAGAACAAAATCGAGTATACGTTCTAAATAAATAAACCGTTAATTTGTTTACTTTAGGATTTTCCCAGTTGTTTGTTCGGACGAAATCTCCGCTTTAGTTTACCAAGGGTTCACTCAACCTTCGTTGTACTCGATGTTAGAGACATTTAGTGTATCATAGAACAGTTATCTGATGTTAGTCGCATAGCAGATTTACTCGATAGAATCACAACACTGACCAGGATTAAAAAGACCTAAAATTTCAAATGCAGCTTCAACAATGGGGGCGTGTGTTTTGTTTACAATTCGCGGCTGTAAATTTGCATTTTCATCACGGCATCGCCTCTGTGGTTCACTTGAAAACTTATCGAGTAATAGAGCCCTTAAATGGGGTGTTAAAAAGATTAGCGCATTATTGAAGCGTTACCATTTATTACAGTAATCTGATTTATCGATACCAATGCCACTTCGCTTGTTTTATAATAATAAAAAGGTTAAAGATATTACAACCGAACATTTAGTCACGAGGATATGCAATTAGGAGCTGTTGAATCAATGCGAAACCTTTTAGCTTTGATGTTATCCTTAATTGCAGCAGTGAGTACAAAACACTCTTTCATTTGCATCTTCACATCCTTCGTTGTAAAGAGTCATTCTTTATTTTGCTTTCCTCAAGATTTAACTTTAAAAAGAAAAACACACACACAACAACCAGTCGTTAGATGTCGAAACGAATTGTTTCCCCTAATTTACATGAATAACAACGAGTGATGGCAGATAGCGTTTCTTGAAACACACTCGAATACTAAACGATTAAAGTGGAGACAGATACAATTTCGTTTGTCACGCACTGGATAGAATATCCTCACCAAAACTAAATCTTTGCACATCTCGATATTATTTACTTCGATAGTTTTATTAATTTAAATGTGCAGATACTAGCGGAGCTTGTATTGATCATGTCGCGGTAAAAGTTTATTCCAGAAAATGCTGTCTCCTTTACCGAAGGCCGAAACGTTTGTAAACATCATAGGAACACTTAAATTGTAGAAAAAATTGTAGCGCCTTCACCAAGATCTAGAGCTTTCGTGAGTAGTATTTTACTTCTTCCACTCTGCGGTTTGAAATGTCTTCACCGCAGTCGTTTAATTCATTCTCAATCAACTGCTTTTTGAAACATACAGTCACTTAGCACCAGTGATGTTTTTGGGTTCTTGCGGAAAGTTTAGTCTTGAAGAAACGCACGGAATGAATCGAATGCTCCAGATGTGTGTGTGATAACGCCTTCTTGAATACCAAGATTTTGTGTTATCTCATGAATGCTACATACATATATCACCTCGCATCTGGGAAAAAATAGTAACAGATTCATGACAAATCTAGATCAGATCTCATCCCTGATTCAAACTGACAAAATTCCGTCTTGATGCTAACATTTTGTCTCGAAGCCTGTACTTTACGTAGTATTTACGGCCTTTCCATATTGTCCTAAAGCAGTGATAACAAAAAATCCTGGTGCATTATTTAATTTAACTTCCTACTACTACTGGAAATCACATGTTCAAAGGCTGCAATGTCAGCCATTTAGTCCAATGGGGCCCTTGGCGGCAAAGTATTGTGCGTAACTCTGGGCGAGCTTTTCTGTTGTGTCCTCCGCGTCGATCGAGTTCTTGAATTTTTCGGCAAGTTTCTCCGTGTAGCCAAAGTCCAAAGTGAGCACCACAACTTTTGGCTCATAGTCAAGCTGCGGTACGTGGATGTCATCGCTTTTCTTTGCGCCTTTCTTGGGGGATTTCGGCAGCGATTCTTTAAATTTTCGTTTAAGGTGTTGATCTTCTCTCGGCCAAAGCGCTTTGTCTTGCAATGACAGTTCCAATAGCGGCTTGTTACCCGACGTGTTATGTTCCTTGATCTTCTTGGTGAATTCTCCCTCTGCTTTGCCAATGTAGAACTGGTATTTTTTATCTGCCGTTTGTGACTCATCTATCACGAGGTAGCAGTAGACAATGCCCTTACACTCGAGCGGATTACGAAGGTACTCTTCCAAATCTTCTTGTCGCTCGATCTCGAGCGCTGATTTCTCAGTTTTGCCTTCAATTTCCTCGTAGACACGGCTCCAGTGAAGGTAGTTGGCGAAAGCGATTTTCATGGCGACTTCCAACCTCCTTTGTTGATCCTTTTGCCTCAGATTGTCTGAAGCATTCTTGGTCAGTGAAAATTCCATGTAGCGTTTCTCGCCTTCTTCTTTGTAAGTTTTTAGAGCGAATACGGGTATCTCTCCGGTGATTAAGTCACTGAGCGCGCTGGTTCTCTCCAAGTCGACGAGCAGTAAATTTTCCTTGCGGAAAGTCCCTCGCTTTTCCCTGCTTTTGCCTCCTTGTAGGCGTTTCTCGAGGTGTTCCAGGCGTTTGGGCACTGAATATTCTTTGTTGTCGGCTAACATGTTTGGATCGACGCGGATTGTAAACGTGTTCTTCTCTGGCAGATGTAAGCCATGCACCTCCGTCGTGCGAGGCCTTAAGTACTCTTGGTCGTAAAGTTGAACCGCGTACAGATCGTGGCTGGCATCTTCGGAGTTTACCGCCATGTTTAATTGCAGCACTGCACTTGCGTACCAAGAATACAATTCCCGTGGAGTGTCGACTGATCAAGGCACTCCCAGAATATTAGCGACACGTAGATTAGCACTGTTGGACGTCTTCTGGTTGGTCTTTTGGAAGTACGTTTCCATGGCAACATTTTTAAGAGCCGAATATGTCTATTGACCTGTTGCAAGGCGAATGTAGCGAAAGTGGAACGATTTTAAAAGCTTACTTGGAGAGTTTTCAGTTGGTTTATAGTCCACGTTGAATGTTTTATGCTTGTTCTGTAGCTCGATCATTAATTACGCTTGTATTTGATGCCACATCATGTCGGAAAGATCCATAAAGCAGACTCATCATAAACGTAACGCGTTACTTTTTGTGCTTCTCTGTCACACAAGCTAGGACTTCGCTGCCGGCTTACAACATGGCTTTTATAATTGTGAATGGGGCAGAAGATGAATATGTAAATTGTATTTACGCTTAGTCACCTGCAAAATAATCACAAGACTCTTTCGCTGTAAACAATATCACCTTTGTCTCGCAGTATCTTTTGTGAACGGCTCTCAAAACTAATTTATGCAAATTCCCCTCAACTTTTGCCTTAAGCGTCTATTTATGCCATGTGCTCTATAGTTCGGGAGATGGGACTTTTTTTTTTTAATCTTTCCATGCAGAAAGGTTGAACTTTCCTCGAAAAACAGTGTCGAACATTTCTTTCCAACTGTTTTCAAATATGCACTTCGCGGTTAGCCGCGAATATGCTTTGTCTGCCTGCCACAGTTACGATTATTTGCATCTTTCTTGTAAAGTGAAAATATGTACTGATCGTCTTAAACGATTTAATTAATGCCTCTTCCTCGTGTAGATGTCAATTGATATGGAATTTGTGACGTCTTTTATTAATTCAGAAGGTGACTGAAACTGGTTCCAGTGATTTCTTGTCACGTCATTCCGGTTTTGGTGGAAAATTAAGTGGTTTTCAGTTTTAAAAAAATTCTGTCTTTGAGAGAAAAATCTCATCGAGGGTCTCTATGAAGTTTTAAAAGAGTCTCCGCTTCGCCAGATGCTTTATTAACGGTTTACTTATAAAAAAAGACAACTTAACGTCAATGTGACCGAAGAAAAATGAGACAAAAATGGCACAGGAAGTGATATCATTACCGGCCACATGGCCTTGACTTCCCGTCTCCTTCCCAATCCTCTCTTTTCCTGTTGAGTAATCACAGCTAAAACGCGCGCGCGGGGACAGTCGTGTTCTAGTCATTCTCGTTCTTAGAGTCCGCTTTTCCTCTGCCGTTCTTGTGGTAGGAAAAACTAGGGGACCGAAAGCAGACTGAAGTAATCATGATAAATCAACAACAGCTCCCCGAAACAAACATTGCCCGCCCGAAGGCCGAACTATTACTGTACATGTACTCCTGAAGATAGCTTTTTGTATAGTCCCTAGCAAGGGCGTAGTCGGGGGGGGGGGGGGGGGGGGGGGGGGGGGGGGTGCCCGTGAGTGGGTGGTCCCCCATTGTGAGCCTTTTTTAGTCACATTAAGCAAAACATGGGGTTGAGATCGACATAATAATCAAGTGAGTACCCTCTGTTTGACACAGTGTGACCCCCTCCCCTTTGAAAAATCCTGGTTACGCCCTTGCCCTGTGGCGTTGCTCAAGTGGTGTCCTCCCTCAAGTTCCTGTTTTCTTCTCTTTAAAACTGTTTTATAACGAATGCAGGTTTTCTCCGTAAATAGTCTTGCTCAACCATAATATCTATCCTTGATATGGAAATGATTCCTATAAAACTATAATTGTAAATCCTCCCATAGCCGTAGTTACGTGGCGTATGAAGTGTTCTAAACGTGAAATGATTATATGATTTTCGTTAAAACACGGTGGTGACGAAGCATCATATGTTTTGTGCTAGAGTAACAAAACCGACCCTTCTAACTGTGTTTATATCTGTTGTGCTTTTTTCGCAGGGTTCCAAATCCGGAAAAGTCAGAAATGGGGTAAGTAACGTAACGTGACTCTACTCCGCGTTCCACTAAAGTTAAAAGTTTTTTTTTTCCAAAATCTGTCGATATTTATCGCTATTGGTTCTTATTTGAATGAATGAAAGTTCGAGTAATATTGAATTGGCTCATTTTGCTTTTGACTTGCGTCAGTATTTGAATCCGTTTTGCGTGTTTTGCAAATCACGGGTCCTCAACAAACAAATTTAAGGGTTTCTTGGCATCCTGCCTTGAAGGAATAGTAGCGCTCTTGCTCGGTTGAGGTGCGTGGTTAGGGCCTCTTGACTTCACCATGATATGTTATTGATGTTTGTCTTGCTCCCACCAGGAAAATCCAGATCCCGTTAGGATTTCCATCAGAGCACCCTTACACATCTCACATACCAAAGTTCCAGGTATTCCCGTCGCTTGAGTCCCCAGAAGACATCAAAAAGGGAAAACTAGCTGTTACTCTTCACCCTACCCTACCTCCCACAGCTCCAGCTTCGGCACCAGACCCCAGCATACTTGAGAAAACCAAGGGTCATTTTGACCGGAGGGAGTTGGTGTCGGTTCAGAAAGAGTCCGAAAGGAAACCTTTAACCTGGCCGGAACACAACCTTCTTCAGGTAAATTAGATAATAATAAATAGACTCCCTTAGATCTAGTGGTACAAGGTACAGCCCTACCTGACTGAACTTTCTTTTCTCGAGGACAAGAGTATAAAGATGATTATGTTACACAACCCGACTTCCAACACACATGCGTCAGAAACAACCTGTATAAAGTGTTGTAAGGCGTGCAAAACGATTCTTATCCAAACCCTTTGTTGCGGTAACGTATTGCAGGTTTTTAAAGAGATTCAGAAAGGGGCGTTGATGCAAGAACCTTAATGTCGTTGATGCGTGAAAAATTGCTGCATGTGGACTCCGTTGCTTTGCCTGTGAACGCAAATGCATTTCCGGTTTTAAATTAAAGAGACAAGTCTACTACCCCGTCCCTCCTACTTCAGATCATCGGAAAAACGTCTTTAGTTTGCTTTGTAACCAAGACTGTGTGATTTGTCGTTTATTAGGCGAGAGTGAGTAGGATTTTGAATTTGGTCTTAGAAATGCAGGCGGCATAGTCACAGCCTTGGTGTTTTTGAACGATTCAAACAGTATTTACGTGGTTTCTTATTAGTCATCTTTTGTTCGTTCTTTCGTTCTCTTCCTCCTATTTAAAAGTTGGTCAAGGGCCCGGAATTAAAGAGACAAGTCTACTACCCCGTACCTCCTACTTCAGTAGTGCCAAACACCCCCGACAGAGATTCATCCCTGGCAGTAACCCCCCGGACTGCGAACGCCTTGTACAATGTTCAGCGGAGCTTCTGGCAAACACATTACCAACAGCAGTTTACAGGCAACGGACCACAGAATATCCTTAAATTGGATAATTTCGACGAGGTTTTCAAAGGGGAGAGCGACACCTTGGTAAGTTCTAAGCG